AACAAACAATCAAGAAATAGAAATGGTCAATGAATACATGAAAAAGAAGTCACCATCTTCACCCATTAGAGAAATGCAAATCAAAACAACACTGAGATTCCATTTTACTCCAGAAAATATATGGCTGCCATCAAGAATTCAAATAACAACTAAAACTGGTGAGACTGTAGGAAAAATTAAACCCTCTACTTTGTTGGTGAGAATGTAAACTAGTACAACCACTATGAAAATCAATATGGCAATACTTCAAAAAAATTAAAATATAAATTCCATTTGGCCCAGCTATATCTCTCCTGGGCATCTTCCAGAAAGAGTTAAAAATATCATACTGTAGTAATTTCTGCATGCCTACGTTTATATCAGCCCAAATCGTAATAGATAAACCTTGGAAGCAATTATATGCCCAATGATAGATGACTGGATAAAGAAAATGCAGTATATGTACTACTTATCCATAAAGCAGGCTAGATTTCAGTCATTCATGGGACAATGGAGACGTCATAATGCTATGTAATATAAATTAGACACCAAAGGTTAAATATCTCAAGGTTTCTCTTATTTGAAAAACCAAAAGTATAAGTAATTCAAAGAGGAACATATAAGATAAATGATAGGGGGGCTGGGGATTTAGCTCAGTGGCAAAAGCACCTGCCTGGCAAGTGCAAGGTCGTGAGTTCGGTTCCCGGTACCGGAGAAAAACCAAAAAAAAAAAAAAAGATAAATGATAGGAATCAGAAACACTTTGTGGAAATAGAAATTGTATCTGATGATGGGGAAAGATGGAAAGCAGAGGCAAAGAAGGGGAGGAGAGAAGGGGGAAAATATGACATGTATATGCACCAATTCCCTGCCATGAATGATTTCAAACACACACTAATAAAAAAACAATAGCTTCTCTTGTTGTTGCTTCTTCTGTTTACACCATTGTGTCAAAAGTATAGTTAATATTATTTGCCTATACAAGAGAATGTTTCATACACTGGAGAAGAGAATTTGTATTCTTCGGCTGTTGGGTGAAATGTTCTGTGAATGTCTTGTAAGTCCCTTTGGTCTAAAGTAGTGATGACAAACCTATTAGAGATTTGAATGATAACAAACATCCAGTTGTGATAGGTTCAACACCACTGGCCTAAAGTATAATTTAACTTAAATGTTTCTTTGTTGATTTTTCTGGTCTGGATAATTTTTACATTGATGAAGGGGACATGTTGAATTCATCATAATTATCGTGCTGGATCTCATAGTTCACTTTACACCTAATAATGTTTATTTTTAAAAACTAGATACTCCAGCATTAGGCATGCAAGCATTGACAGCTAGTATAACTTCTTGTTAAGTTGATCCCTAGATCATTGTACTGTGACATTCTTTGTGTCTTCTTAAAGGTTTTGCAGTGAAGTGTATTTTACCTCGTATAAGTATAGCGACTCCTGCTTGCTTTGAATTCCTTTTTAGTTGAAATCTTTCACCATCCATTCATTTTCAGTGTGTCCTTCTGATGAAGGGAATTCCGTGTAAATAGCACATCCTTGGATCCTGTTTGTTTTATTCATTCACCAGGTCAGTATTTTTTATCTGGCAATTTCACCCATTTGAATCCAAGTTTATTGGTATGTAAATGCTGTATACCTTTTAATTTTTTTTAATTTCCCTCTTGTTTTGAATATTCTACATTCTTCCTCTCTTACTACTTATGTTCATTATTTGGTGGTTTTCTTTCTGAAATAAACTTTATTCTTTTCTCTTTTGGTGAATCTTCTCTTCTACTGTGCTTTATACTTTTGTGTCTTTCAATGTTGATAGTTTCATTTTTCTTCTAGGGTAAGGCTCCCCTAATTTTTGTAAAATTAGTCTGATAGGGGCTGGGGATTTAGCTCAGTGGCAAAGCACCTGCCTGGCAAGCGCAAGGTTGTGAGTTCGGTTCCCGGTACTGGAGAAAAAACAAACAAACAAAAAAAATTACTCTGATAGTGATGAATTCCCTCAATTTTGGAAATTGTGTGCTTCTCCATTTCTGGAAGATAGTCTTTCTGGGTATATCATTTTTGGTTGACATTGAATATGTCATGCCACTCCCTCCTACCCTGTAAAGTGTCTGCTGAGAAATCTGGAATTGGGAGGTCTAATGGAGGTTCATTAAATGTAAATTGGTGCTTTTCCTTTGCTGTTTTTGGAATTCTATCCTTGTCTTGAACTTTTCACAGTTTAACTATAATTGGTGAGGATCTTTTCTAGTCAAAACTATTTGGGGTTCTTTGCTTATCCTCAACCCCTATGTTTATATCTTTCTCAAGATTAGAGAAGTTTTTACCTATCATTTTAGTGAACCAGTTCTCTGTGTGTTTTTCCTTCTTTCACCTCTCAAACCCAACTCTCTTCTCTGCTCTGGGGCTGACAGTGACACTCATAGATCCTCTGTTGCCAAAGCTGGGAAATTCACTGGGAGCACATTACAAAATGTGACCTAAGACACATCAATTTTCCTGTGTAAGAAAATAATAGGGGAACAATTTCATGAAGTTGATTTAAAATAAAGTTTGTGTGCATATACATAAATGTAAATGATGTTTTATCAGTTACCATTTCTTCCAAGAATTCAAATACACTCTTTGTTTCTCTTTTGATTTACTTCAATGAAAGATGACAAGTTCATGGGTAAGTAGTTATTTTCAGGTTTATATGTGTTCACATTCAATTTTTATTTCATATTTACTCTCATTCTTTTCCTTCTTCACCTTTATTAAAGTTTGTTTGATAAATCAAACTAAATATAATTAATGTATACAAATGTAGTATTTCTATATATGTACACATTATAAAATAATCTCCACCATTAAGTTAACTAAACCTCCTATATCTGTGCCATGTATCACTTCACATATTTGCCATTTTTTAAAGCAAGAACATTTGAGATCTACATACTTAGCAATTTTCAAATACATAATACAGTGTTGCTAACAATGGTTGCATTGTTGTACATTTCCAAAACTTCTCTTGAACAATTGAAACTTGTATATTTTGACCAATAGCTCACTTCTTCTCCTCTCCCAGCCCCTGGAAAGCACCATTCTACACTCTTTCTGTGAATGTGGCTATTCTAAATCCCATATGTAACTGATATCATTCAGCCTTCCTGTGCCTGACAATCTGTATTTCACTTGCATTTTAAAAATTGTTGTGTATATACACAAGAGACTAGTGTTGCAATGTTAAAAAGCAGGAATATCTGTCAGTTATGACAACATAGATATCAACTAACTTTATTGACTGTAATTTAACACTGGGATTTTATTTCTGTGCTGTAAGACTGTATTATTTAGATGAAGCTATCTTGCTGGGTACAGCTAGTAGTAGATTTTAAAAATGAAATTTACCTGAAGACATCTGAAAAGCATCCACACAGTGAGGAATTAAAAGGCCCTGATTCAGGGAAAGAAAGAAGCTCTGGAAAGTGAGCTCAACCTCGAGCCATGTGCCTTCTTCTACAGGTATCTGTGAATTACAAAGTGAGGTCTGAGAGGACAGGAGCAGAGAAATACTAATTCTAAATACCTAAACTGTCAGAAAATTATCATTAGAAAATGTATTGAATACAGAAAGGCAATCCACCATTGTCATGGTTGATATCTTGTGTCAATTTGAGAAATCTAGAAGCTTAACTAAGTAACTCATCAGTTCTACATGCTGGGGTATAGAGAACATGCCCTTATGAGTCTATGATGTTGTTCATTGTGTCAACTTGAGAAGTTTAGAATTTTAACTCAGTAATTTATCAGGGGGCCAGTGTCCTTACTCTGTGAACATCCTCAGACTGTGCAAGAGGGCAGGGAGATGGTGTGGGTGTAAAGGAGCCCTGCCCCAGGGTGGGTAGGCTGCGTACAATAAAAGGGAAATGAGAAAGGAATGATTGCTGGTTCTTCAGGGAGGAACTGAAGTCTTTGCCTTCAGCTTGGTAGTCATCTTCCAGCTTCTAGTGCAGACTGGCTTCAGCCTGGGCCTCTTTAGCCTTCTGGTGTACACTCTTCAGCCTTCATTGTAGATTCCTCGGCATTCCATCCCAGACCTATTGGCCTGCTGGTATGGACTTGCATAGATGCTTCAGTGAGCTTCAGACCTTGGACTAGACCCTTCAGCCTCCAGTATGCAGACACCCTCTGCACACTTCTTCATCCAACTCTGTGGCTTACCATATCAAGCCAAACTTGTAATTTCTTATACATTTGTACGTCTTGTGTTATATCTGTTTCTGTAATAAACCCTGACTGATACAACCATGTAAAGCTTTCTTATATGTAACTAAACCTATACTTAAAGAGAAAGTTTAGCCTTTAAGGCACATACATGAAATTATTAGTGAAATAAGAACTATGCAAGCAAAATAAGCACAAAAAACTAAAAGTAAGAAGGCAATAAACAAAATAATATAAGCATAGAAAAGTCCAACAAACCACTCAAACAAAACTCATACTCCCTTAGCAAGATAACAGAGGAAAAAGTAGAAACAGTAGAAAGAGACTAAATGCTCATTTTTAGGTAAAGAAAAATTATAAGTAAAAATTCTATAGACATTAATATATTAAAAAGGCAATAATAGCCTAGGTTTGACAATAAATTTTGCAACTTGGATAATGTCTAAAAAAATACACGAGAAGCACAATTTATGAAAGTTAACATGGACACAAAATAATCGGAAAACACACTATCAAGAGAATTAAATTTATTTTCAGAAAAACAACCAAAAATTTAACAGTTTTCAACTAAAAAATATTCCCAACACATGACCCATCACAATTGAACTCTACTAATCTTTTCAAAAGAAATGCACACATACACATGTACACACACACACACACATACACAATCTGCCCCACACTCAAAATAATAAAACAGAAGAAACTTTTTCAAAATCTTATATGAACTAAAAATATCTTTAATACTAATATCTGACAAAGACATTACTAAAAATAAGTGAATATAAATGTGTAATCCTGGACAAAATATTTACAGGCTGAATCCAAACACATATATTACAAACAAGAATGGTACATTTAAGAAATTAAATTTTTATTGTGATATGAAACTAACAAAGTGTGACTCGCAATACTAACAAAATGAAAAATACACAAAACACATTTTTACTTCAAAAACAATAAATGATTGAAAACCTAATAAATGATCAAATGTGGGTGGATTCTACTATTGACAGTATATCAAAATTAATTTCTAGTTCTTTGCTTTTTGCTAGTCTATAAGTTACTCTACAATTTTGGAACTTTGAGTTGATTAAAAATATTGGTTATTTGAAAAAATATAAGAAGAGTGATACCTAGGCTGAAAATGCAAGTTTGTGGGCCTCTCAGGACTGATTTCAACTCTGAGATGACACAGTGACAGCTTACAAGATGTTCTCATAAGACCTATAAGAACATAAGCACAAAACAGCTCTTAATAAGAAATGTCTGCACATTCACATCTCTAGCAGCATTACTCACAATAAACTAAAGTGAAAGCAGCACAAGCGTCCTTAAATGGATGAGTGGATGTACAAAGGTGCTGTAAGTGCAGGCAATGGGACATTATTTAGCCTCAAAAGGATGGAAATTTTGACATAAACTTCAACATGAATGAGGCTTGAGGACATACTTCTAAGTGAAATAGACCAGCCAAAAGAAGGTGACAAATGTTGAATGATTCTACTTATGTGAGGCATCTTGAATAGTCAGGTAGACAGACATTAAAAAATAGGATGACCACTAATAGAGTGGGGAATGAAGGCAATGTGGAGGTGTTCAATTGGAAGAGTTTGTTTTGCAAGACAAAAGGGTTCTGGAGGTAGAAGACAGTAATATTGCCCCAAAAATGTAAATATTAAGTTGGAAAAATGTTACAATTTATGTTATCTGTATATTTCTCACAGTTTATGAATTACCTTTACACAAAAAGATTAAAGATAAGAGGAAGAGACTTTTGGAAAGATGGAAGTGAATATGCTCTTTGAAAGGTAGAAAGGGTGGTAGGGTAGATGAAGAAAAAACTTTTTAAAAAATAGGAAATTACCAGCGTCTGAAAAGCCATACAGCAAAGCACACCAACACCATCAAGCAGGGCAGTATTATTGCCAGAATGATCCAGCCAATGGACATAGGCTGTCCTGCCAATTGGGAAAGAGGACACATATATTACTTCACATCCTATACATCAAACCCTGGCCTTCATTTCCCTGGCTACATATTTATCTCTATATTAATCTCTCTGTCTGTCTGTGTCTCTCTCTGTCTCTGCTTCTCTCTC